CAAGGACGCTACTAGAGGAGCCCCTGGCCTTACTACTAGGAGCAAGGCGCTACTAGGGCTCCTGGCCTTACTACTAGGAGCAAGGGAGCAAGGACGCTTCCAGGGGTGCTGGCCTTAATAGTAGGAGCAAGGACGCTACTATAGGGGCTCCTGGCCTTACTACTGGGAGCAAGGAGGCCACAAGGGCCTTCTGCCCTTACTACTAGGAGCAAGGACGCTACTAGGGGCTCTTGCCCTTACCACTAACTAGGAGCAAGGACGCTACTAGGGGCTCCTGGCCTTAACTAGGCAAGGACGCTACTAGGGGCTCCTGGCCTTACTACTAGGAGCAAGGACGCTACTAGGGGCTCCTGGCCTTACTACTAGGAGCAAGGACGCGACTAGGGGCTCCTCCCTTGCTACTAGGAGCAAGGTCGCTACCAGGGGCTCCTGGCCCTGCTACTAGGAGCAAGGACGCTACTAGGGGCTCCTGGCCTTACAGGCCTTGCTGTGAGGAGCAACGATGCTGGGGCTCCAGGCCTTACTACTAGGAGCAAGGACGGTACTAGGGGCTCCTGGCCTTACTACGACGCTACTAGGGGCTCCTGGCCTTACTACTAGGAGCAAGGACGCTACTAGGGGCTCCGAGCCTTGCTACTAGGAGCAAGGACGCTACTAGGGGCTCCTGGCCTTGCTACTAGGAGCAAGGACGCTACTAGGGGCTCCTGGTTTTTGTACTAGGAGCAAGGACGCTACTACGGGCTCCTGGCCTTGCTACGAGGAGCAACGACGCTACTAGGGGCTCCTCGCCTTACTACTAGGGGCTCCTGGCCTTACTACCAGTAGCAAGGACGCTACTAGGGGCTCTGGCCTTACTACCAGGAGCAAGGACGCTACTAGCGGCTCCTGGCCTTACTACTAGGAGCAAGGACGCTACTAGGGGCTCCTGGCCTTACTAATAGGAGCAAGGTCGCTACTAGGGGCCCCTGGCCTACGACTAGGAGCAAGGACGTTTCGAGCAAGACGCTACTAGAGGAGCTCCTGGCCTTACAGCAAGGTCGCTACTAGGGGCTCCTGGCCTTACTACTAGGAGCAAGGACGGTACTGGGGCTCCTGGCCTTACTACTAGGAGCAAGGACGCTACTAGGGGCTCCTGGCCTTACTAATGGCAGTTGGCCTTACTACTAGGAGCAAGGCCGGGCCTTATCGCAAGGACGCTGCTAGGGGCTCCTGGCTTTACTACTAGGAGCAAGGACGCTACTAGGGGCTCCTGGCTGGCCTTGCTACTACGAGCAAGGTCGCCACAAGTCTTACTACTAGGAGCAAGGACGCTACTAGGGGCTCCTGGCCTTGCTACTAGGAGCAAGGACGCTACTAGGGGCTCCTGGCCTTGCTACAAGGAGCAAGGTCGCTACTAGGGGCTCCTGGTCTTGCTACTAGGAGCAAGGACGCTACTAGGGGCTCCTGGACTTCCTACTAGGAGCAAGGACGCTACTAGAGGCTCCTGCCTTTACTATTAGGAGCA